TTCATTATTGTTTTCTGTGATGCTTGTTGGTATCAGTGGAGTTGAATCATTATTGTGTCTGTTTTGCAGGCATGAGGAAAATGGGACGCCGACCGGAGCAGCAGGGTCAGCCAGGATCCCAGCCGCAGGGAGGTCAGGGGGAGGGTCGTCCACCAGCCGACAGGCGACCTGACAGGAGGCCACCACGTGAACGACGCTTTGACAAACCCGCTGATGAAAAACCTGCTGAGGGTGGAGAATTCTCAGTGGAGAAGTGAGTCAATTGACCTTTGTTTGTGTGGTAATGCATAGTTGATACTTGAAGTTTTATATTGAAAACATAAAATTCAAACAGAAGGATACTTTTGTTTTTAATGCTTTATTTTTTCATGTTTTGTTTTATTTCAGATAATGTGAAGTCGATGTGAAATGAAAATCACCCTAATTTAAAAAAATGCATGTTATAGATCTTATTGTGAATAATTCTTATTGTTTCATTTTGAAAATAATTTTTGAACTTAATGTTCATTCAGAATTTCATAAACTCTTAGTGAAAACACCCAACTTTTCTCTGGTAATCCACTTAAACCTTTAAAGGATCTTAATCCATCCTTTTTCCTGCATAAAGTTGCACTGTAGTTAAGATCCAAATTTAGATAATTTCATCAGAAACGACTGACATCTAACTGTTATATTATCTCTCCTCTTCAGGTCTGTCAGTGACAGGCCGTTCCGGGGTCGTGGAGGTGCCAGAGGAGGACGCGGAGGCCGGGGCAGAGGTGTTGGCAGGACTGACGGCTTTGACTCCCGCGGCAAACGCGAGTTTGACAGACACAGCGGCAGCGACCGATCGTAAGTCATTTGGATCCACTTGTTAACTCTAAATGTAATGCCACCTGTGTGACATATCAAAGCTAAGTGTTAATTTTTGTTTCAGCAGCCTGAAAGCAGAGGAAAAACGTGGAGGGAGTGGATCGCATAACTGGGGCACTGTTAAGGATGAGTTGAGGTCAGTGGAGCAACAGATCCTTTGTCTGCCAAAAACGCAGATGAATTTAATTCACATACTGGTCAGTAGGAGTTATTTTGGTTCATTATGTTAGTTTTGTGAAATTGGATGCATTCCTTTCCATTTACAGCGAGCTTGACCAGTCAAATGTCACTGAGGACACCCCTGAAGGAGAGGAGCACCCACCTGCTGACTCGGAGAACAAGTGTGTACACTTCAGCTCTAAATTAGCGCTGCACTGCTGAGTCTAGGGCTGCACGATATTGGAAAAAAACTCACATTGCGATATTTTATTTTTCTGCTATTTTTTTGTCATCACCAGATGACTTGAATAACTCTATTTGAAGACGTTTTATTTATATATCGCCTTTCCGTAGCCCAAGGTCACTTTACATATAACAAGTAGTTTAGTACATCCACACAAGCAATATAGACACAATACAAATACAATATGAACACATATACAACATATAGCCGTTATCCAAAGTACATATTAAATGGATATGTTTTTAACTGACTCTTGAAAACAGTCAAAGATGGGATGGTACGGAGAGTGAGGGGTAGTGAGTTCCATAATTTAGGAGCATTAACACTAAATGACCTTCCACCTACAGTAGCCAACTGAAAACGAGGGATGGACAAAAGGCCAAGTTCAGAAGATCTAAGGTCTATTTGGAAAATAAATAATCAATGATTATTTGTAGTTGATTTTGTAGGCGAGTAAATCTGCATAGAAAATAAACAAATTACAAGCATAGATAAATATAATAGAACAAAGATACAAATAAAATAAACAGTGCTTTATATTTTTTAGGTAAGTCTAACAGTATGCAGGTACAGAAATTGAATATTCAAATGTAAAATAACACTGCATAGTCTTCACTATATAAATTAAATCTAATAAATCTGTGTTAAAGCTACAAAAGTGATTTTTCTCTGCGTTTTGTTGTTTGATTAACATGACACCAAAAGCAACAGGAATATTAAACTGCTGTGAACCAATATACTGTTACACATCCATTTTCTTTCTCAATTGTTTACCTTCACCTAAGCCATAAGCAACTGTGTTTACAAGGATACTTGCAGAAACATGCATTTTGACAGTAAACGGTATGTGTTATTTCAGGCACAAATAGACGTGGAAGTGAACGGAATTCGTTGTTCACATGCATCTGCGCTGCTTTCACCGTGTCTACACCAGATGCGAGTGGTGTGGCACGGCGCGACAAAATATTATAGGCTAGAACGCATTATAATCAGTGATGCTGTCTACGCTGGATGCGGCGCGACACGACAAATCCCCGACAGTAAACTGATGCCGCATTCTATTTATGACGTACTGACACAAAGTTCAAATGATTTGCAAAGGTCGCTTTGTCGCGTCCAGTGTAGACACGGTGTCTGTGTGTGAGCAAAGAAAACAGTGCGTTTGTTCATAATTGAGCTCTATTTCGTACCTTCTCGCACTCAAATGGTTTAAAATAGCTTGAAAGATTAAACCGACAGGACCTAAAACACATGCAAATGATGAACCTTCATTGTATGATGGCTAAACTTTGCAATTAATCCAATAATCACCTGCGTTTCGAACCCTATACCTGTTCATACGGAATAACGATCAGTATACTAAACGTCGCACATCGCGATTTCGATGCTGAAACGATATATTGTGCAGCCCTAGCTGAGTCATTGCTTGCCATTTGATGCCGGCACTATTAGCATAAGTTCCCACCTATAATTAAACAAAAACGTAGTGTGTAACATTAGGATTGATTCAAGAACAATGGCTCTATTAAAAGCACAACATGTTTACAATCTTTAACAGTTACTGAAGGCCCCTTCTTAATTGTAGTGCTTCTTAATTAATTAGCATTGAACTAATTGGATGCAGCACTTTAGCTCAATTTTGATATTGATGTTTCCACAGGGAGAATGAGGTTGAGGAGGTTAAAGAAGATGGTGCTAAGGAGATGACTCTGGATGAATGGAAAGCCCAGCAGAGTAAAGAGAGAGCCAAAGTGGAATTCAACATTCGTAAGGCCAATGAGGGAGCCGATTGGAAGAAAGGATACGTTCTGCACAAGTCTAAGGCTGAGGATGTAAGTAAAATGACAGCGTTTGAGCTTTTTGTTTCATAGTGTCCATTTGTTGTTTCATGCTCAATGTAAAACTTTGCTGCATCCCTGCCATTCCCCAAGACAAGCTGTGTTATTTTTTTATATACTTGTAAGTAGCCTGGAAGTGTGCTTGAGGAACCTGATTGCTCTCCATTTATGGCGCTTTTCCACTGCATGGTACGGCTCGGTACGGTTCAGAGCCGTTTTAGGTAGGCGGGGTTGACTCTTAACTTTTATAAAGAATATCTCTTTGGATTTGAGACTTTAGTCTTTGCAACTTTACAGATCTTCTTTATGCACCAAGAGCTTGTAACACTCCAAAGAGAAAGGAAAAATTTAAATCGTATCATATGACCCCTTTAAAAACACACAAGCCTTCAGGCTGTATTATTGAGACGCTGTTTCATCACATTCATTGTCGTCTTTTGTTGCTTCAGTCCTTTTCATCCCAATTGAGAAATTAATTGTTATAGATGTTTAGATGTTAAACTAAAAACTCAGTTTAATAGAAAAGGACAATATTATATCATAGAGCTGCACAATTCTGGTTTAATTGAGTATCACGATTTTTTTTTGTCTGAAATAAAGATCACGATTCTCCTACTATTCTGAACTAAACAAAATAATGTGACAAAATATTATTGCTGCAGTCTTTTTAAAAGTGTTTATCTAATTTGAATGAATTATTAAACATTTTAATATATATGTATTTAAAAAATAATATATTTAATACACCAATTTTTTTTATATTAAAATTATGAAAAAGTCGTTTGAATGAATGATTCGGTGACTTATAATTGGAGGTAGTGGACGACCGATTATCGGCCGATATTTGGCATTTTTTAAATATCGGCATCAGCCAATAAGTTTTCAATGCGGGACTTTTATTTTGACGGCGAGACTGACTTTTATTTTGACGGCGCTGACTGCTCACATTCTCCGTCATCGTTAACAGTTCTGTCTAATACGGATAGAAGTCTGTCTAATAATCAGAACGCTTAAACAAAGGAATTAAAATGTATACAAAAAGTATTATAACGATTGCTTTTATATTATTAGTAATAGAAAGGCAAACATTATAATACCTTCTTGTTTGCCGTCAGCATTCAGCAAATACGCATTTATATCATTTAAACAAATCTTTGAATGACTAATGAACATTTAATTTCACAAAGCTTGCAAACTTAGTCGGATCCAGTTGTGAGATCTTGTGAAGTGTGCATGTGACCTGCATGATCGCGTGTTCTCTGCATGACGGTCGATCCGTGTGAATTGAATGCGGACAGGTGGAGAGTTCAGCTTCACTGGAGACGCGCGATCGACAAACTTTAAACTCGTGATTTCAAATTATGCTGCGCTTTATGCATTTGCCCACTGCCATATTCATGTCATTTCCACTGTGTGCTGTATGTAAAATGAGTGTTACTTATATTATTTATTAAATATTTATTTATTTGTGAACAATACTTTGTCATCTAAAGTATAAGTATGTTAATTTAACACATTTACTTTTTAATCCATTTTCAAATTATTTCAAATTTCTTAAACATTAATTAAAATAAATAAAATTATATCGGCTTTATATCGATATATTAATCGGCTGATTTTTGGCATTTTTTAATTAATCGATTGTGCTGCAAATTAGGCCGATTTATAGGCAGGCGCATCTGCGGGCAGATAAGCGTTGTTCACACTCTGCAGCCGCTTCTTGTTCACACACAGCTTCAGCTAATGATGGCAGGGCAAAATTATATTATTTATTAAATATTTATTTATTTGTGAACAATACTTTGTCATCTAAAGTATAAGTATGTTAATTTAACACATTTACTTTTTAATCCATTTTCAAATTATTTCAAATTTCTTAAACATTAATTAAAATAAATAAAATTATATTGGCTTTATATCGGC